TAAACCCTCAGACTTCAAACATTGCAACAGCAACAGGAACGGCGTTACCTTCCACTCCTTGTTCCTGGATCCTCACTGCAGCCGCCCTTGTCCCCCCCAAAGAGATTAAATCCTCGCTTGAAGCTTTTCGGTGGCTCTGCCTCGTTCCTGGGGGTCCCAGTGCAGGCGATGCTCAGCTGCCCAGTGCCCTCCTCTTACCTTCCCCCTTCTCAGAGTCCCTACACACGTGAATCCCTCAGGTAGCAAAAGATGAGCTGAGAAATGCCGGAGGAAAGAGCTGAAGGGGAGAGGGAGCCGCTGGTTCCCCCCTCCGCAGGTCCCTGCAACAAGCTAAACAGGTTGAGTGAGGTGGGCTGTCCAGTGTCGCGTTTCAGCAGGAGTCATCCAGGGCCACGTGCCCTCACCAAGCATAAAGGGATGTAAAAGCTTTATCTTGATTTAACTGTGTGCAGGGAAACCTCACCACAGTGACCCCAGTGGGGTGGGCAGGGCAGTGGGCTGCAGCCAACGCCTGCTTGGGTGGTGGCCAGTGACTGGTTACACCTGGTAAAGGTGCTGGTTTGTTCTGGGCTGATGAGGGAGAGGTCTGGGATCCTTGAAAGCTGTGGTTTTATGGGACTGATCAGAGCGGGGGTGTTGAGCTGTGAGGTGTTGGGCAGCACCCAAGGCTCAGCCTGGTGGCGGGGAGCCCCTCCTGCTCCCACCCTTCCCTCACAAAGGACCAACCTGCTTCTCCCTCAGTCTGCAGAGGGCTCAAGGTGCTGGGGAAAGGCAAGGAAGGACAGAGGTGACAGGTGGTCACCTCTGGTGGTGGTGACAGGCTGCAGTCACAGATATCCGTGGGGTTTCTTGCTGTTCACACACCCTTCTCAGAGGTTAGAAAAACTGTCTATTGGGAACAATTCCCCCACCCCTGCTGAGCTGGGGAACATTAAGTAGGTGATAATATGCGGTCCCTGAGCGGGAGGGCCTGCTCTCCTCTGGATAGTGCTACTTCAGACAATTTATCATTCAAACAAAGAGGGGGAAAAGGGTTAAACACTGCCCAGCCTCCCCAGCCAGCAGTGGCTTTGGTTATCTGCAGCATGGCTGCAGGGCTACATGGTGCCTGTACATGTTCGAGGATCAAGAGTTAAGTGTTTAAATGATAAGTGATATCTTAAAAACATAAGTTTAGCAATGAATCTTTACCGACAATACTATACTATTAGTTAATAGGCAGAATTAACTCACTGGCCTGGGGCCAAGCCCATCACAGCCAGAGCCAGAACAGCTGAAGTTGCTTTTCACTTGGGTTTTGCTTTTACGGGATTTGCTGCTGCGGGGAGACTCCAATTTCTGTAAAAATATGCTCATATTTTCCTCCTCCCAGCCTGCTCCTGGAAGCTCGAGGCTCCTTGGAGCTCAAGGGATTCAGCCAAGAGGTGGAGAACTTTCCTCCTGCATGCAGAGACGTGACCAAGGGAGCTGGTTTATGACCAAGGGTGCTGGTTCCCTGCAGGGTGTCTCTCAGTGGCCTCAGACCAGCTCCCTGCCTGCTCTTGGTGGGACTTCACAGACAGATTTATTGCTCCAGGTGCCACCCTGGGACTCACTCCCCATCTCTCCCATCCCAAATAAACTGCCCTCTCCCTCGACTGGGGCATTGAGATTGACCAAGTAGCTTCCCTGGACCACAAGAGCCTCTCCTGAATGTCTCTGGTAGCTGAGGCTCCTTGGCATCACCAAGGATGACCAAGGCAACCAGCAGCAGGACAAGAGGGCACACTCTTAAGCTGTGCCAGGGGAGGTTTAGGTTGGACATTAGAAAGAAGTTCTTTACAGAGAGGGTGATCAGACACTGGAATGGGCTGCCCAGGGAGGTGGGGGAGTCACCATCCCTGGAGGTGTTTAAGATATTGGATGTGGCACTGAGTGCTGTGGTATAGTAGGCAACGTGGTGTTGGGTCAAAGGCTGGACTTTAACCTTGCAGAAGGTGAGAGGGAGTCACCTCCTCCAGGTGTGATGAGCCAAGGGCTTCATGTGCAAATGGAACCTGTTCTTCCTGCACCAGGAATTGAAAATGCTGCATTAAATGCGTCACCATCAAACCCACTTTAATGTCCCGGAGATGGCATCTCTCCTGGCCCTGTCTACCAGAGAACCATCTTTTGATGTAAACTAACACTTAGGTACAGCTGGAGGGGTGGCTGTCCCCTTTTTGTGACCCCATCAAGGCTTGACCTAATGCTCTCTGCAGCAGGGTTTGAGCCTCCTGCAGCTGTAGTGCTGCCCAAAGGTTAGTTGTGGGCAGCAAGTACCAGTAAAACCTATATAGGATGACTCCCAAGGTGGCCACATCCATGTGACACAGTCCCTCGTCCACTTGTCACCAGATGGCAGCAAGGAGAGCATCATCAGCTCACAGTGTGGTGGCTGGCTGAGGACACACAGTGCTCCCTAATCCACGACCAGGCCACTAAACCCGGTGCAGAGTGAGTGAAAGGCACAGAGAAGGGCACTGGAGGAGGTCTGGAGTCGCTTGTCACGGCGTGGGGCTTTGTGGCACTTGCTGGTCTGCTCAGAGCTAGTGGCTTGGTGACCAGAGGGGCTTGTGGCTTCAGGTCAGAAGGTGGATACTGGTGGCATCACCGTCAGTGGGAACAGCAAGTTTGTGACAGTGACTGGAGACCTTGGCAGGCCTTCACATGGATTCCAAAAGGATGCAACAGTCACAGAACGCCCTTCTCGGGAGCAGAGAGAAGGCATGAGGTGGGACCAGTGCTCACAGTTCATGACTGACCCTGAAGAGCATCTTCAGGGCAGAAAACAGATTCCAAGGAGCAACATAAGAACTTCAAAGTCAGTGCAGCAGCCAGACAACGTCTGCATAGTCCAAGATCCATCTCCATCAGCAACAGCCTAAGGGAATGCTAAAGGAGAAGAGAGGAGGTCTCCAGTGGCTGTTCCTTTGGAACAAAATTCCCATTGTGTCTGGCAGTGCAGCACTGGAGAGTGCTGCAAGAAAATCCAGAGGGTCTGGGTGTCAAATGGACAGGGTTGCTGCTCTTGGGCTCTTAATTTGGAGAACTGGTGGATCCTCAGGGATGTGCCTCTTCAGAGCACTGCAGGACACAACAACAGCCCTGGGATGAAGGGTTGGAAGAGTTTGGAAGTGGTGAGTGCTTTCAAACATCTGATGGACATTGCTGACTGCTCCAGAGCAACAGAGAGTGAGGAAAGAGCTTGGGAAATGGGGGAGCCAGGGACAGTGCTGGATTGGGTAAATAACTGCTGAGGATCCTTGGGATTCTAGCCCTGGAGAGGAAAACCTCTGGAGGCAGGAGCAGCAAGGTCACTGGCTGTCCCAGGCCTCAGCCTCCTTCTTCCATGCAAGAATGTTCCCTACAGAGGCACTGAAGATGAAAGCTTCTCCACACACAATGGAGCTGGGCCACAGGATTCTCCAGAGGCTGTTGTGTTGAACGCGGGGCCAACCTGGATAAGCAGCAACATCTGCAGTGACAGGAGCTCCCAAAGCAGATCAGAGCCTGCAGTTGTCCACACGGAGATGAGGAAGCACATTTGGCTCACATGTATGGCCAACACTCTCAGGGAGCTATGACCTCCTCTAAACACTCCTGTGGAATCATTTCCTGTAGCCAGAAGTGATGGGTCAAGGCATGGAAGACAAGGTGCTCAAGCTGCTGATGCAGCAAAGGGACAAGGCAAAGCACAGTGAAGCCTAGACTGTCTTTTCCATGTCTTAGACACTTTGGTGAGTTGAAGGACAGAAGTCCATCCTGGAAGTCCAGTGGGTCTTCAGGTCCTGCCTACGAGCCTGGCACAGCTTGTGCAGAGCTCCGTGTTCAGGGTGTGACCTCCCTGAGAAGATTCTCCAGGACAGAAATGGTTCTCATAGGATGCATCTGACCCTACTTCCCAGCCAGCAGAAATTGGGACACAGCTATGGGGGGTGAGCAGAGGGCACTGCTGGGTAAAACATGGGTGCTGGAGGGTTGGACAGGGGGAGGAGATGTCAGGGTGGTGGTAGAGGGACCTCATGGGGCAAACTGTCCTGGTAGCAGTCACGTATAGATCCACAGAATGGTTTGGGTTGGAAGGGACCTTAAAGACCATCTGATCCCAACCCTCCTGCTACGTCCTGAACAGGGTTTGGCTCTGGAGATGCCCCCAGGGCAGATGTGGCTCCCAGGCACCGAGGGGAGTTGGGGCTGTTGAGTGCTGAGATGCAGAGGTGGAGCTGGGTCTCATCTTGCACTTTCTGGGAAGGTCCTGCTTCACCCCAGTGGTGTCAGTGGGGCTTGTGACCAGCTCACAACTGCTCCACGCTTGAAGTGAGGGGGGATTCCTGCTCCATCTCCACCTGGACCGGTCTCAGGGGGCTGGGGTGGGGAGGGAGGGCTGCTCAGGGCTGCCAGCAACAAGCCGCGGCTTTAACAACTCCTCGGATTCTTGTTTCCTTTTTTTTTTGTTATCCTGCTGGATACATCCCCTTCTCCGGCCGGGAATCTCCTCACCGCCCCGCTGGGCAGCGGCGTGGGCTCAGCCCCGCGGGAGGGATGCTCAGCCCGTGGCCCGCGGCGACCGCGGGCGGTGCGAAGGGCGGCGGGGGCATCCCCGGGGACACCCCCCCCCCCTCCGCCCCTTCGCCCGGTGCCGGCGGCGCAGCGAGGCGGATTTGGGCCGAAATCACGGCTTTCTCTGGATGATCGACAGCTCCGGGAGAAACCATCGGGCGGGTCGGGGGGAACCTCCCGCCCGCCCGCCTCCCACCCTCGCCCGTCCGGGGCCCGCCGGTCCCCGCCGCCCCCCGGCCCGGCGCGGCCGCCCCCTCGCCCGCCGCCCCCGCCTCCCCCCGCGGGCAGCGCGGCCCCGGGGCGGGGCGGGGCGGGGCGGGCGGCGCGGGGCGTCCCCCGCGCGGCGGCGGCGGTGGCTCGGCCCGGCCGCGGCGGCGGGGCCGGCGGAGCGCTCCGTGCCCGCGGCCGTGCCCGCGCCGGCGGCGGCCCCAGCGAGGGGCTCCTGGGCTCTGCGCTCCGCCGCCTCCATGGAGCGCCGGCCGCGCCGCCTCTGATGCCCGGCCCGGCGCGCACCATGGGGCCGCTATGGCTCTGCTGCCTCCCCCTCGCCCTCCTGCCCCTGCTCGCCGCCGTGGAAGGTAGGAGGGGGTGGGGTGGGGGCGACGAGGGGCGCGGGGGGCCCTGTGTGTACGGCGAGCCCCCTTCCGCGTTTTCCCCGTTTTTTGGGGAGGTGGCACTTGGCCGCCCCTTCCCCCCCCACACTCTCCGCCGCACCCCCCCCCCCACCCTTCGGAAGGGAGGCGAAGTTTTGGGGAAGTGCTGCCCCAGCTGGAGGTGTCGCCGGCGGAGCCCCGGTGTGTCGCGTGTGCCCCCCGCCATCCCCGGACCCTCCCGATGGCCCGCCGCGCTTCTCCCCGCCATCCCTTCGCCACGGTGGGCATCCCTGGGTACCACGGAGCGTCCCCCAGGGATGCCCGGGATTCGCCGCCCCACCGCTGGTCTTGGGAGAGTCTTTGGGGCGCCCCTCAACCAGGCCTCGCCGGCATCCTGGAGCCGGTGGCCGGCTCCCCGTTGGCGCCGTGGCGTTCCCGGCGTCCCCGGGAGGAGCCGAGCTCCCCGCCGAGGTCCCCGGTGCTCAGACAAAGCAGAGCGAGGCGGCAGGTGGGAGCTCCAGGGCTGGGTGCGTGGGGACGGCGCTGGGTGGGAGCCCCGTGCTGGGGTCTGGGCAAGAGGACGACTCGTTTTCCCATCTCCGAAACCATCCCAGCTATTCCTTCCTTCCTCCTGCCCGCCCGCTGCGTGGACACCCTGGGAAGCGGCGGAGAACTGGGCTGGGCAGGGGCGAGGGCAAGGTGTCAGGCCAAAAACGGGCTCATCCCGGAGCAGCGCGGTCCGTGGGTTCGTTGTGGAAGGGTCGTGTCTGAGGGGTTGGGTGGCTCCACTGTCCCTCTGGCTCTGCTGGGCTCTGTGGGCAGGCTGGGTGGCCACTGCTGGCCCTGGGCGCGCCGGGCGGTGGGAGCCGCATGGACAGTGTTTGTCTGGAACGTGGATGAGGCACCATTTATTAAGTTGGAGTTTTGGGAGATGACTCATGGGTTGGCCAGCTATACATCGTGATATTTACAATATGGGAGCTTGGCATAAATAGGACTATTTACGTTGCAGCGGAGAGCGCTCGCCAGCTCTGGTATTCAAATGAGCCCAGCATGGTTTTAATTATGGGGGGGGGAAGGTTTGGGGTGATGAGTGTGTTTTTGGGAGCGTATGTGTCCATGCAGGATGTCTGGCCCGATCAGCTAGTGGCCTTGACACTTCCAACGGGGTCTGGGCTTGGCCAGCGGGGCTTGGCCGTGCCCAGCCAACACTGCCAACTGCAGCGGGGACGGAGCCGGGTGCCTTGTGCGGGGACGAGGTGACACGTCCACCCCACCCTGCCCCTCCTGCACTGCAGGAGAGGTTGTTGGGCAGTGCTGGGGGTCAGTGACCGGCTCCCGGGGGCTCCTCCGCGCGTGCTTGAGACGTGAACGACTGTTCCACTGTCATGGCAGGAGCAGCGGGCACTGGATGCACGAGTGCCAGGGCACATCCCAAGGGATGGGGAAAATACCTGGGAGCAAGGGGGTGGCCATTGCTGGTGGGGTGTTTTGCCCACTGGAGATGGTCTCTGTAAGGTGTGCTCCTACATGGGTGGAGACGTGCCCGTGGAGGTGGTCAATGGGCACCCTGCACTGTGCTTCTAGTAGCCATTCCCAGCTGGAGCCAACTGTGTGGATTTGCGTTCAGGGGGTCCCCCCATGCCCCCGCTGTTGCCTCTTGCCCTGTGTGTGCTGTGGGGTTATGATGGTCACTCGCAGTGTTGGCGTGGGCAGCCAGCTCCCACGCCCAGCCTTCCTGGAAAAGGCATCTGGAGAGCTGGCAAGGTGAAGGCATGTGGGATGCAGGTCCCCTGGTGTGCCTCTGCTCCTTCCTTTTGGGAGCCGCCTCTTCCCACGGTGCTTGGATGTGGTGTCCACCTGCACCTCTGGATGCTCTGGATCCCTGTGGTGTGGGCAGACTGACCCAGCAGCAGCAGCTGCCCATGGAGGTGTTGGCTGGACCCCACCACATCCCCCCGGCTGCAGGCACCTCCACGGTGGCGATGCCTTCCACGCTGCCATCTCCAGCTCCAGCAAATTCCCAGGGCCAAAATGGGGGCAAAAAGGCTTGTTGAGGGAAAAACCACAATGCTGGAGGATCCTGCCTCTTGAGTCCTGTTTTCAGCTCTGCCACAGAACGTTTCTGTACTGCTGGTAATTTCACTTGTCTCCTCTGTGCCTCAGTTTTCCTAATTACAAGGCGTAAAATAATCCAAGCGTCTTTCCCAAGGGAGCTGCGAGGTTTTGTTAATGAACATGACAAAGTGCTTTGGGATCCGTGGTTGAAAGCATAGCCTTAGTCAGTGTGGCTGTGTGTGGGGTGTTTATTTATCTACATGCTTTATATTTCTCTGTACGCTATATATTCACTTGCATTTAACAAACCTTAATTAGAAACAAAGCCGATAGGGAAGGAAATATAAACAGGAGTGTGCATGGAAATTGGAAGTTGATTACTCACTGGCCAGCAGAATGCGTGGCTTGGGCTCGGGAGGGAAGGCTGTTTGGTTAAAACCGGCTCTGTTAAAAGGAAATGTGAAAAGAACGTAAAACATAAATCAATATGGAAAACAGGGAGGTGGATGACAACGTACATAAAGCAGAGGTTAGGAATTGCCTATAGTTGTGAAGGCAGTTGGAAGGTAATGTGTCTGCAGCTGAGAAAGTTCAGGCTTCTCAAAGGAAAGTTTTTTTGTGTGTTTTTTTGAAAAAAAAAAAACAAAAACCCAACCCCAAACCAGAAAGTCAAGAACAAAGGAGTCCTGGAAGGGTCTGGATCCCACACCGGTTGGTAGTGCTGCTATCGCTAACGGCTCCGCTTTGTATTCCTGCCGCGTGTGCTGCGCACGGATCGGAGCACTGGCTCTGCCGAGGTGTTTTGGGGGGAGCTGGGAAGGACACCGAGGCATTTTAAAATCAACAGCCCGTCTAACTCACGTGCGAGGGGGGGAGAACCAAACCGCCGGCACTCTTTGCCCTGCTGGAGTTAACTTTTCATAAACCTTGCGGTGCTGGCAACTTTCCCGAGGGCTGGAGGAGAGCCAGCCTTGTGCCAAAAATGCGAGGGGAGACACGAGATTGCCCTGCTGTCAGAGAGGCTCTGGGCAGCCTGGGGCCGACAACACAGAGGCAGTGCCGGGCTCCAACTCGACGGTTCTCCATTGCCCACCACGAGTTTTGCTGGGAAGCAGCATCACGGGAGAGGGGACTCGATAGGGAAAATCAGCTGTGCCTGGCAATCCTAATCGTGAGCCCAGCTTTGGGCTTGGAGAGGAATGCTGGGGTGGGAGGGCTGTTATCCACTCCCCGGGGGGGTATTCCCGGGGCATGCTGTGGCTGAGGTGCTGGACATGGCCATCCCTGCCCGTCCTCTGAGCAAGCTGGAGACAGGACTTTTCAGTTTATAGTTAATTATAATGTACATAATATGTCTTACGCTCTCAGGCACGTGGTGGGATTGTTGGGGTGTCCTGTGCAGGGCCAGGAGTTGGACTGGGTGATCTTTGTGGGTCCTTCCCAATGTGAGATGTTCTGTGGTTCTGTAATATACGGTATATTTAATTTCATGTCTACTATGACATATTTTAGTGTTCAGACATGGTCTCCTCTTCTGTACCCATGGTGATGACCTGCTGCTGAGCACCCCACAGCCTCCTTCAGGCCCTGGGGGTGCAGGGGGATGCCAGTGGACACAGGGTTGGTTTGTATCTCCTCGTATGTGGCTTTGTGGTTCTCTATGGGGGAAGAGTTGAGCCGTCCCCTTCAGAGTTACAGTCACACCAGGGCATTGACCTTGGTGCTCCAGGGAGGTGGCATATTCCAGGTGTGCCAGGACCACAGGAGCTGCAGGAGCATCCTGGCAAGCCCAGCACGCTCCAGAGGGACATGGCAGAGCAGCAGGTCCAGGGAAAAACCCAGGATCTGTCAAGAAGCTGATCCCTCCTGTGTGATTTAACTTCAGATCTGCAAACACTGTCCTGAGACCAGGCTGGGAACAATTTTTTTTGAACTAATGGGACTGAGGAGCAGAGCAGAGCCTGTGGTTTCAGGTCAGCCCTGTGCCTCCCTGCTGCTGCCTCCCCTCCCCTCCATTTCCTGGGTTAATTTTTGACGAGGCACATTCCTTGCACCCACCTGCCCTTTGCATTACAGGGGCAGCAACAGGGAAAACTCCTTTTGGAGAACAAATAAATCGGTGCCTCATTTAAATGTCCGTGTTGCAGCCATTGCCAGTCTGCTCCGTGGCTTTTCCAGGCGGGAGCAGCAATTTGCTCAACCCCTGCTGAATTTCCAGCTTCTCTGGGTGACAAAAGCGTAGGGAGCAGCTGCTGGAGGGGACAGGGTGGTAGGAGACGAGGGCTTGGGGTTGGCATGGCCACCACTGTCCCCCAGCTCCTCGGGGCAGCATACAGAGGGATGTGGGGCTGTGGAAGGGGGTGTGTCTGTGCCTCGAAGATGCTTCCAAGGGGTTGGGGCTGCCCCCCAGGATGGGAGCAGCAATTCCCTTGGAGACAGGCTGAGGGCCTGCCTGCACTAGTCGTGGCCGTTTGTGTACACATACCTGAGCTGGCTGGAGAGAGGAGTGGGCACCCACGAAACCCTCCCGAGGAGCTGGGTAAATAGTGGATGCTGCGACAGCTCCCGAGGCCTGAGCGCTTTGAAGGGAGGGATAAAGGAGAGTCTGACTCCCCCTCACCCCCCGCTCCTGCACGGGCCCCTCCCGGCACGCTGGCCCTGCTGAGATGGGTGCTGGGCGTGAGTCTGTCTGGGAACGCAGTTCCCATCCCTCCAAAAGCCCGTTTTTACCGAGGAAGACCCCTGTCGGCTCCCGCTCTGGTTTGCAATCCCTCCCAAACCTGGAGCTGGTTCGCAGAGCGGCCGGGGTGAAGTGTTGGATCTCGTTGGGATGGGGGGAGCGGGGAGATCCTTGGAGGCAAAAGTTCAGCCCTTAGATAAGGGGTAACGTGGGGCCTCCCGCGATAAGGAGCTGACGGGCGGCACGA